GGCTGGGGGCTGCTGCCCTGCCGCTCCGCGAGGTCAAAGCCATCCGAGTCCTCGGGCAGCTCTGCAGAAGTTTGCCCGGGCACTGTCAACATAAAGTCAAATAAATGCTGAGGAAGGTCTGTCACTGTCAAAGCTGAAACGAGAGATCCTAGAAATGAAGCCTTTCTTCCCCCTTGGGTAACACTGAACAACTCTGGACTGCTGAGTGATGGTGTTCCCTGCCTCTTCTTTTGGCTCTGACCTCTCTCTTGCCTTTTCTTCCCTGCTTTTGCTCTATTGTTTTGTACTTTATTCCTTTTGATTCTACCTTTTTTGGAAACTCTCTTACTTCTGATCCTATTTTTCAGCCCCACGGTATTTCTCCAGTCCTGATTTCCCTCCTTCCCACCACTTTCATCTTTTCCTCCTCACCAGGGTGGGGAGAAAGGTGACACCAGCTTTATTGGAAAGCGCTGAGGTCTCCAACCTCCCACCCCAACTGCACACCTTGGGGTTCAGGCCGGGGCCGGCCCCGCTGCCAGGAGGAGCGGGAAGTACTTGGTGGCCTCTAATCTGCTTGTGTGTCACCACCGAGCAGATAGTGCTTGCGCACCCGGCGTCCCCCAATGCCTCGCGGTTTCCCCCGGCGAAGGCCGGCTGTCGGTGCTGCACATCCTGTGCGGGGTGTACGTAAGTTGTGGAGGCAGAGCTTACGTTATTTTATAAACCTGCTTCATCAAAGCTAACGCTTGTCCCAGCGTGGACTCTTAATCTCTTTTGGACACAGAAGCGATTGCTTTGGCTGTCGTTGATGGAAATTGGGACTGATGGTGTAAAGTCAGTTTTAGTTCCGCCTTCTCATGGGACTTGTATGTTAGTTTTGTATAAACAAAGCCAAAAAATCTAGGGGAGAAGGATGCTTAGGACAAAAAAAATACCTGTTTTGAAGTATTGCCTTACTTTGCCTCCAGGATTTGACTCCCTGTCCATGAGCATGTTCCCTGGGGAGGGAGCATGTTCTCCCCCTCGCTGCCCCGCCGATGCTCTCCCAGCCCACTCGGCCAGCAGCGTCTCTGTTGCAGAGCGCAGAGGGCTGGGGCGCAGGCCCAGAGAAGGGTCAGGATTGCCCTGAGGCTACTGGGTAGCTGCAGGTCACCTCCTGCAGAGCATCCCTCTGAGCACGTGCCATGGTCTGCCTCTACGCAGAAGCCATAGTCTGCATGAATACAGTGTTTCTTCTGTTTCTCGATGCCTCTTCCTTCAGCAATCCCAAACTGCGTGCCCTGGCCACGGCCCTGTCCCCAGGCTTCCTGCGGTTCGGCGGCACTGAGACAGATTTTCTCATCTTTGATCCCAACAAGGATTCAACTTCAGAAGAAAAAATCCTCTGGGAACTTCAGGCCCACCAAGGTAAAACGGGCATCAATGTGGTAGACTTGAAACCAACCTGGGTTTGGGGAGTGGCTTTGATGCAGGCTGGGGATGCCACAAGGGCATGGAGGCAGCACTGGGGGTCCTCCACAGGGTCAGCATTGCTCTCCTCCATGGAGAGGAGATCCGTGGACCTTCAGCACGGTCTGTGGGAGGAGCTGTGCCAGCCGTGGGAGAGAGCGAGGAAGAGCGCAGGGGACCTCATGTGCACCCCAGCGTCTGCTAGGACTCTCCCTTTGCCACCCCGGGCTCCCCGCAGCAGCCTTGGGAGCCCCCCCGCCCCCGGGAGGCAGTCAAGGTCAGCTCAAAAGTTGTGGTTTCATTATGAAAATTAAGTAACAGATGGAAGAAATAACCTGATGAGAACAGAGCGTCCGTCTTCTCTATCTTGGCCAAAGCCAGAGCTTTGGGGGCGCAGCCTTGCCCTCCTGTCAGTTTGATAGGGCAAGTGCAAACCCCCTGGACCACTGCCAGCTGCTTGAGCCTGGTCCTGGTGCGCGAGGTTTCCCACTGCATTAAAGTCCATTTCCTCTTTAAACTTAGCAAAAGCACATAAACCCTTCTAGAGGTGTTTCAGATGAAAACATTCCTGCCTGTTCCTGTGGTAGATAGCACAACAGCGCAATCGTACGTCACTGTACAACAAGTGATGCTCGGTTTTGAAGTCCAGTGGCACTTTTACCCCTGTACCGCTTTGCGGCCGCCTCCTCTCTGGGTAAATGTGACTCCGGCTCGTGCCATCCTCTCTGGTTATGGCTTGTTCCTGGTTTGCATGCCAAGAAAGAACACGAGCTTGGAAGAAAAAGCGTCTTATGACTCCTGCCAGCGTTGCCGTTGGAGCCGCGCAGGGCAGTCGGCGCTTCCCCCTCCACAAGACGGGCAGCGCAGGAAGCGTTGCCCTGTATCTGCCCACAGCAAGGCCAGCCGTGCACCCCGCCACACCGCTGCACGCTGGGGTGGCTTATCTGCTCTCCGGGCACCGCAGCCCACGCTTTGTCAGCTTGCTGGAATGAGGGTTTCCGGATGGTGCGCCAGCTAAAATAGTTTATTGGGGGGTGACTGCCATGATACCAGCCTCCAGAAGCACAGCTCAGTCTTCCCCCACTCCCCCATCTCCATCACCTTAAACTGGGAAATGTACATTGTATATATAATACGTATTTATGCATCAAGCCAGCCCTCTTTTTACTATGTGGTTAACGTTGTGAAAGTAGGGGTGCATTTCGTAGAGGTGCACAACTGGCTCTCAGCCTAGCACCAAGCAGTCGTGCTTCCTCCTGGGGGACACAGCCCTTTGCGTACTGGACCCTGGCCGTGAGGATGAGGACTTAATTGCTACCATCCTTCTTCTGCCCTACAGAGGCTTGTGGCTCAAGGCCTGCGTTTGCTGCTGTTGAGAACCTACTGCTGGCCCAGTGGCCCAGTCAGGAGAAGCTGATTCTTGCAGAGCATAACTGGAAAAAGCACAAAAACACCACCATTACAAGTAAGACTTCAATGGATTTTTCTGCTAGGGTTTATAACCAGGGGCCTGCAAATCTCTGCCCTGTGGTAAAAGGCTCGTAGGCTGTTAGGAGCTGAAACCACTGAAAAGGAATATTTTTCTAAGTGGGTGAAATGGTTCTAAGAAATCTTTTTCTACTGTCTGCCACCTCGTATTTAATAATATGCAGTTGCTGCAGGGGTGGGGAGGATCTCGGCGCCTTGCAGGATGGTGTGTAGTAAGGTCTGGGCTCTTTTGTCCGTCTGGGAGAGCTTGGCACATCTGCAGCACCAGGCTAAATAAATACGGGCAGTAAAGATTGTTGCTTGGCTGGAGCTCAACTAGCACGCCGTAACCTTGAGATAAACATCCCCCCTTTCTCCACCGTGCAGGAAATACGCTGGATATTCTCTACAGCTTTGCAAACTGCTCAGGGTTTCACCTGATCTTTGGGCTCAACGCCTTGCTGCGGAAAGATGGCTTGCAGTGGGACAGCTCGAACGCCCGGGCGCTGCTGGACTACTGCGCCTCGCAGAGGTACAACATCTCCTGGGAGCTCGGGAATGGTAAGTGCAAAGCCTGCTTGTGAACCAGGCCAGCGGTCACCTGGAAAGGTACCACCACAGGGTATGGGCTGGTAATTTTGGATGGTTTGGATGACGGCCCATAAAGGCAAGGTGATGTTTTCTTGGGAAACATTAAGGTCTTAATTTGCAAGGAGGGATTTCACAGAAGGCCCAACGAATGAGCAAATTGAGATGATTTTGCTGCTCCTGCCAAGGCTCTGAGATGAGGTAAGCGATGCCCCGTGAGGTGCAGGGTGTCGCCTATGGCGACTGGCTGGGACAGAGTGCTGGAGAGCGTCACCCGGGCTTTCGGCTTCATGCTCATCGCCTTCAAATACCTCAGCCATGCCGTGCCAGATCACGAGAAGCCATAGGGGACTGGAACTCCCCACATGGAAAGAGCTGCCCTATTTTGTGCCCCGAAACTAGAGCGGGATGCTGATGTGCACATGTCTTCCCCAGAGCCCAATAGCTTCAGGAAGAAATCTGGCATCTACATCGACGGCTTCCAGCTGGGGCAAGATTTTATTCGCTTACGCCAACTTCTGAGTGACTATACCCTCTACCGGCACGCGATGCTCTGTGGTCCTGATGTCGGGCAGCCCCGAAAGCACACACAGAGACTGCTGAGGAGGTAAGGGGGGGGCGGTGGGGGCATGAGGAGGCATCTGGGCAGGGTTTTAAGGATTTTCTGCTCCAAATCAATAGTAAGGATGTGCAAATGGATACATCCAGTCTATTTGAGAATAAATTTCCTGCATTTTTCCTTAAATTAGAAACATGGAATTTTTTTTTCCTTGACTGGGGATGACTGAAATCTTACCTGCATGCATGAGCTCAAGGCTTAAATACTCAGCCAGCTGAAACTAAGACGCTAGCAGTACTTCAGCGATCTGCACATCTTTCAATTGAGCGCTGGCTCTAGTGCTGCGTCAACAAGGGCTTTTCACCCTAGAAATCTCCGTGTGTTACACAAGCATTAATTCATCCTCCCAGCAACCTGCTGAGGCAGCCGGGCTGCCCAAAGCCTGTTTAAAAGCCATTGCAAGTGTGGCCCCAAAGCAGTTCACCATCACTACCAGCAGCTGGGGGGGGAGAAGGGAGGGCTGTGCGTGGCAGCACGCTCGTGGGGGGCCGCGACCCATCACCGTTACCCGCTAACCCCCCGCTCTCCCCTGCGTCCCCTCTGGTTGCAGCTTCCTGAAATCGGGAGGGAAGGTGATCGACTCTGTCACGTGGCACCAGTAAGTACCGCTCGGATACCGTCATTCCTCTGCTTATCACCTGTTTTCTTTATAAAATGGCAATTTGAAAATCTCAGTGACCATCTCGGCAGGAAGGAGGGGGTGAAATAGCCCTTTCAGCCGCTCCTTGGGTGCCTCTCTGCAAGCTCCCTTGCTCAGAATAAGAGATGAATTGAGGGAGCGCTTTACAGAAATGCAGGAGGTCTCCAAAGAGGCTACTTGGTGCAGAGACCCAAAAGCAGTAGAGGGGGTTTGTAACGTAGCACAGGAGCAGGGAATGCAATGTGTGCAAGACGGTCATTTTTCTTGCTAAATATGTGCACTGAGAAAAACAGAAGTGGGACGTGGAGAAAAAGATGGCACAGCAGCTTTATTTCTTAGAACAGCGTGAGGGGGTAAGTCACGGCTCTCCCCCACACGAGGAACGTTTCTGCAGCAGCTGAGCCTTTTTGCACATGCCGTGTTTCAACATGTACCAAAAGCTGGTGAGATCTGAGCAGCTGTCGCAGTTGTCTCGAAGCTCCAACTTGCCAGCCCTTGCAAATAAAATGCACTTTCCCATGGGAAGAAGGGGGTGTCGTATGAAAGGAAAAGAAGGTAGCTCAGACTTACGCGTCAGAGATGCCTCTGCTGAACTTCTGCAAGAGCAGAAGGTTTTTAACATAAGGTTTTAAACAACCCGTGGGTGGCTGGGCTTTGAAACGGAGTCAGTACCCCTGACATCGGTGCTCTCCTTGGAATTAGAAAGGCTGAATCTGCTTGAGTGAATGCTTTGTTCCCTAAAAGCAAATTCATGGAGTCACTGATGACCCTGCTGGCAAATACACCCAACTCCTAAAAAATGCAGCAGAAGCCTTGTTAGCTGGTGCATTACATGCTGCCTTTTTAATCTGCTTATGTGTCTGATATAAACGAAAAGCCCTGCAGGTCTGGCTGGCCCTTAACCCGTAGCAAAGTGCTAGCAGCTTCTTCTGCTCCCTTAAGTTTGCTCTCCAAGTCAGTGTGGGCTGTGTGTGGGTGACGCCTTCGGCTCCCACCCGCAGTGCAAACAGCACCAGCACAGTCCCAGCCCTTTGCTCTTGTGCCATGGCTTAGAGATGCAGTTTTGAAGTGCTCAGGCAGGCAGTGGTGTAAGCTGGCCCCAGGGCACCTGCCATGAACTCCACATGTTTGAAAGCAATTTCCATGTGAAGGTGGTTTTCTTTCGAGAGTCGGACACAGCACGGTGACACGCAGCAGTCAGGTAACAGTAGGAGGGAAAGATGCACATGCTTATATTATATATAAGTATACATATATGACTTATCTATGTATTTTGAGCTGCTAGCAAGGCATAAACGTGTCCTCTCCCCTTCCTGGGCTGGTCTTGCTCTGTGGCTGCCTTTGCTTTAAATGGGCATGCATTATTTTCTTTACTAATTTAGGATTATTGGGTTTTAGCTTCCTCTTGTGGCTGGAAGACTTCAGCTACTTCTGGTAGGACTGAGTGATAGCGTGATGAAATGCAAAAACCACAGGGATCCTAATTTCCCGTTCTTTATTCAGACAAACCAGATGTAAAAGCTCCTCTGCTCATGGTGGAGGGCAGCCTTCATCCCGTAGGGATCCTGTTGCCCTCCAGATGGCCAAAATACTTCAACAGAGGGACAGAAGCTGGGATCTGATATTTTTAATATATAACTTGATACAGTAAAGCAAGTAATCACATAGGAGTGTCAGACTCCTCAGCAAGAGATTTACAGAAGCTGGCTCTTACTCAGTGATGTTTTCCTTGTTCTAAATGAGTAGATGCAAAAAAACCCTACTGCTTCTGTGGCTCAAAATTTCTGTGATATCCTGCCTCCATTGGGGTAATTATACCTGATAGTCCCTTAAATGCAAACAACATACCTATATATTTGGAAAACAAAACAAAAAAAAGAACCAGATGGAAAAATAGTCCTGTTGATAAATGTATCGAGTAACTGAGTACTTCTGGTGGTGGTTTGTACCAGTGGTGGTATTTTTCCTTAATTTTGGCTATGTTTTGTTTTGGTTTTTTTTCCCATTTCCAGTTACTACGTGAACGGACGTAGTGCAACGAGGGAGGATTTCTTGAGCCCTGAAGTGCTGGATAGCTTTGCCACAGCTGTACACGAAGTCCTGGAGGTGCTTTGTCCTGTTCAGTCATTCCCATGTTCAATTTCCAGAGGATTAGCAGAAAATCCAGAATAAAGTACAATTCGTCACGAGCGATAAACAGGGATCCTCAAAGCTTGGGTGCTGCTGTCATCATAAATTTAAAAAAAAAAAAATTAACAATACAAATAATAAATGAGCTCCAATAGTTTGCCACGCAGCAAGCATAGCGCCAGATACATCACAAACCTACAACGTTCTCATTTGTCAACGTAGTCATTATTCAGGGATGTAATTTATGGACATACCCCCCTGCCCTGGCCCCGATTTCTTTGTATTTTGAGATCCTGAGAACAATATAACTTAGAATATACCACTACTCAGCATGAGAAGTCTTACAGGACCTGGCTTTTAGTGATGTTTGCCTCATTCTACATGCGTAGATGTGAATTTTTGGAGAGGGGGAAAGTAAATCTGCTCTCGTCCTTTTGATCAAAATTTCTGTGACATCCTGCCTCAACTGGCGTTATCCCTTAAATGCAAACGTTGTACGTAGGCGTTTGGCTAAAGCACAAAATTTTGATTGCCCGTTATTTCAGTAGCCAAAAAACTTAACCGTTGTCTCTTTCTCTTCTTCCCTATGCCACACCGGCCAGATTGTTGGTGGGACTGTGCCCAACAAGAAGGTCTGGCTAGGAGAGACGAGCTCTGCTTACGGAGGGGGAGCTCCCAGGCTGTCCAACACTTATGTTGCTGGCTTTATGTGAGTACCATGTCACGGGTGTGGGGAAATTACACATTTTACCACCTGAAGGGGGTTGCGTACATGCCCTGCGGGAGGAAGCCCCCCTTGGGCTTCCTGGGGGGCACAGGCAATGGGGGGCGTTGAGGATCGTAACCCTCCCACCGCTCCCTGTGTGCTTCCCCCGTGCCTGAAGTTCAGTGTAGCCCCAGGTAATAGCAGATTCCTATGGGAAATGGAGGATGAAAAGTCTGAGAAAGTTGTATTTCTGCTCTCGAACCTGCAATGCTAACTCTGTCCTTTTATGAGGACAGAGAGTCATTCACAAGATGGGTATCCTTTTCTGATGTCATCCTTCAACCCCTGTGAAATAACTAACCAAAGGGAAATTCAGTCATGAAAATAATTTTCTCCAAGGACTTCAGTTGTAGCATTTTGTTCAAATAAAAGAATTCAGACTTTTCTTAGCACTTTGATCAGTTTGTAGATTCAGGGAGATAAAATTGCATGGGAATGTGCAGTTCACACTTTTAAAATTAACCAAAACCATGGTTGCAATGTATTTTTTTCCCTCCTATAAGGCATGATAATCTTTTCATCAGGGCCTGGTGGGTCAGCAAGTGAAAGCCTGGTAATGGCAGGCAACCTTGTCGTTGGTGTGATGATTTCTCTCAGCCTTCAGGCCCTTGGCCGGTTCAGGAGCATCCGCTGCCACTCCTAGTTTCCACCACCTGCAAACAGGGGAGTGGAGCAACTGTACCCACCAACTTGGACCTCCAGAGGTGGTCTGAAATTATTTTTTAAGGTAATCAATGCAAGACTTGAATTGAAATTAGTTGTGTGATTCTAAGGAAGTCAGCATCATGCCCTAATTTTTGCTTTCCTACTTCCCAAGCTGGTTGGAGAGGGGCAACGGTGTACAGTTGAGGTCAGCAATCTCATCTGCATGTTTTTTGCCTAATTTTTTGGCAGGTGGTTGGACAAACTCGGGCTTTCAGCCAGGCAGGGCATTGATGTGGTGATGAGACAGGTTTTCTTCGGGGCAGGGACCTATCACTTGGTGGATGCCAACTTTGAGCCTTTGCCGGTATGTATGCGACCCTGCTAACGCCATCTGAATGCTGCATGTATTTCCTCACAGGCAACACTGGATGGGGAGATAAAAGTCAGCTATTTTAACAACGCAAGATAGCAACAGATTTTGTAGGATAGCCGCAGTTATCCTTGCACCTAAAGTTAGCTTGTGTTTCATTATGGGTTGATGCGTTATATAGAGAGATACAAGATATTTACTGCAACTGCAGGGACGGAGCTAGTCTTCAGCGCAGCAGAGACTGATTTCTGGGACATGATGCTCTGATTTGGATGCAGACACTTCTGGAGTTCACAAGGCTTTCCTGGATGGACTGTTTTGGTTTGAGTACTTCTCAGCTGAGTGATGAGTAGCTTTTAAACAGAAGTGATACCAGGTATTATAATAAACTCTATCCCAAGTGAAAACCAAACCAACATGAAGTCAAGACTCAAGCGTTTATTAGGTCATGAGCATATTTAGCCTTCAGTAGTGGCTGAAGGATAATTAAATGAAAACGTGCATTTAGTATCATTGGATTTATGAGGAAACAACATCCTGCTGTGATGAAACATCACTATTTGAGCTATACGTTGTTCTTGCATGTACAGCATGTTTCTTTGTGCTAGTAGCACTTACCTCAGGGTGAGAGGATAACGTCTTTCTTTTTAGCTTTCCTCTCATTTTTCTGCTTCCAAGTTGTGATTTTCACAGGCTCATAGAGACCATCTGAGAGGAAACCCAGCATACGGGGTTTTTCTGTCTTGCCTGTTCAGCTGGTCCCTATGCCAAGGACTGCGTTGTCAGGCTTGTTGCTTTGGGCTTTTTATTCCCTTGTTGAAAATAGATTTAATTTGGCCCGAAAGGATATGATTGTTCCTCACCTACAGGCAGTACAGATGCTAATCAAGCAAATAATGCTTTAGAGCCAGGGAAATCCAAACCCAAGTCCATCAGTTTTAGTTAGCACGGAAATGAAGAAGCACAGCAGTGTCAGAAGGCTGCACCTCCTTGCAGAGGGGCTGAGCGTGCAGGCCAGTAGGAAAAGTCACTTCCCCAGGCTCGAGGTGAGTCAGGAGAGAAACACAACAGTTTTCTTTCTAGGAAAACCTCAAAGACAGACAGACTGACAGATGAGCTCTTTGAAACCTGCCAGCTGGAGTACATCCTCCCTGGGGCTGCGCTTAAAGAAGCGATGCTGCAAAATGCAGCCTGCCTGTGGCCTCCTAGTCCCAAAACGTATCTGCGCAGACCCTGAGATTAATCCTGAGACCTGTTCAAAAGCACGATGTTAGTGAAAGGCATCAAAGTTGTTGGGGGTCTTCTTCCCCAGCGTTGGGCCTGTGGATTGGGCACGGGCTCTCCTGCAGGAAGGGCAGCTCAATCCCAGAGGGTTCAGTCCTGAGGTGCTCTGTACCCTGCAGAAGGGTGTCTCCAAAATGCAAAGTCTCTCCCCCACAGAAATAGCTCCGAGATTTGCATATGAAGGGGAAAATGACTCTAAGATACCTTGTAAACACAGCTGCTCTGCAGCTTGAAGGCAGGGTTTTCTCTTTAGCTATGCTGTTTGGGGGAATTTAAACAAATATGGTGAAAAACTTGGTAAAGCAAAAAGTTATGGAGGAAAAAACCCTGAAATTACCAGCAAAATGAATGTTACGTTAAGCACCGTGTGGAGTTCCTGGCATGTACACAAGTGCTCACGTGTGTTTTTGTGCCTCCCAGGACTACTGGCTCTCGCTGCTCTACAAGAAGCTGGTGGGTACCAAGGTGCTGCAGGTCGGCCTGGTGGGAGCCGACAAGAGGAAGCTCCGCGTCTACCTCCACTGCACGAACGCCCTCCAGTAAGCTTCCAGAAAGGGCAAAATATCCCAGAAACTGAGCTCACAGCCACCCCCAGGCCCACAAAACCAATTTGGGACAGCGCAAGGATGCGCATTATTTCTGTGAAATCTCTTTCTCTCCTGATCCCCACCATCATCTTCTCTTGCCTTGCAGCCCAAAGTACAGAGAAGGGGATGTGACGCTGTTTGCCTTAAACCTCTACAACGTTACCCAACATTTGCAGCTACCGAGTTACTTATCGAGCAAGCACGTGGATCAGTACCTCTTACTGCCGCATGGCAAAGAGAATATACTTTCCAGGTAAGCGTGCAATTCCTCCTGTCTCTGTAGAAAGGATTGTGAGCAGAGTTAGATGGCCTCTAGAACCTCACCTTGTTCAATTTGCAAGGGGGGCAGGGGAAGAGGTTACCATTCAGTCATCTGGGGTTTTTTCAGTAAGGTCTGACTTCTGTTAAATCAGGTCTCCTAAAATCAGGCTGCTGAAAGCTTGCTAAGGTACGAGGACACTTGTTTGACGTTAATCGGGAAGCTTTTTCCTAGCAGGCTTCAGGGCTCTGGACCAGCTGCTAAAGCCCTTTTTCTTTTGCACAAGCACAGGTATATCGCTTTCCCAAGTGCTGGCTCCTGTTTTACAGCAACATGTTTAGGCTTTGTATGGTTTGTTTTGTTGTTGCTGCTAATGCACTGGCACAGGAGGGATCCGCTCTGCGGGCATAGAAGATAGCTTAATATTTGCAGGAGAGAAACGAATTAAAGTTTGCACTTTTCAAAGCCTACCCTGCTGTTAACCTCACTAGAAGCGTAAGAAACGTAGTTGTCAGCTTGTTTGTGCTATGACTCTAAAGGAGTCCTTACAGACGGAGTGCAGCAGATGCTCTGTGTGCGTGCACACATAAACCCTCTAGTTTAGTTCGGCTTTGGGCTGAGTTTATGTTTACACTCAGGTCCAGAGCTGTTTGTGCTTGATGGCAAACAGAGCACAGCTGCCCCAGCAGTCTCTCTGTCCCTCTCCAGGTCTATTGAGCTGAATGGCCGTGTGCTACGGATGGTGGATGACAAAACGCTGCCAGAGCTTATCGAAAAACCCCTTGGTCCCGGCAGCGTACTCGGCCTTCCAGCCTTCTCTTATGGCTTTTATGTTATCAAAAATGCCAAAGCTATTGCTTGCATTTAAATGGTTAATACATGCGTGCAGGATAAATGTAAGGCACTTGGCTAGTAGGGAAGTTTAATCCTAGAAATTCACGTTTCTACCATGAGATTTAATTCTGGCAAGGGATGCAAATTTGGTGGCACCGGTACGATCTGTGGGCTGGGGAAGGCATCAGGTCCCGACGGGTAATTTGTACGTGAAAGATGCTCGTTAAGCCCCTGGGAGAATTATCCAGGTAGAGCAAGCCGAGGCAGGGGCTGGTTTTGCTCTCAGTCCAGCCTGGGTTGCACGGGGCCCTTCTCCACGCCACGCACGGAGCTGCATCAGCTTCTCACGCTGCGGCTGGGGCTCTGTCAGCTGGGACCTGCAACCTCCCCTCTCTTTTCTGCAAGCACAGCTCTTAAAGCAGTTCCTTCAAAAGCTTGCAGTTCCTTCAAAAGCTTGCCTTCAGAAAGGATGAGCAGGGTTTTTATTTTAGCTGTACAGCTGTGATTTTGCCTGCATCATGTGGGGAAGCCTGAGGAGGGGTTGTGGTTGCTGTGGGCGTCTTGGGGTGGAAAGCACGGACGCACGAAGCAAACCGAGGTGGGGGTGCCTGCAGGGGAAAATGCCTTGCGGAGAAACGAGGTCCTTCATGGGATTTGGGGCAGCACCGCAGATTTTTCCCAAGCTAGGAGAGTTCAGTCACAAGATGGAGCTGTGGCCACGTGCTTTCCAAGGGCGAGTTATTTCTGCAGGGTGGTCTGCCTCTGCCCTCGCACACTTGGTCCCCAGGAGGAGAGGAGAGGAGCCCACCAGCGCGCCGGCAAACCCTCCGTGATCAGGGGGCTGCAGGGGCTGCACGGCGAGGGCTCACGACTCCTCAGCCTTCACCACCCCGCAGGCGGTTTAGCTGGAAAGGATTTCCCTGAGCCTATCTGCAGGGGAAGCTCTGCTTTACGCTCCCTAACTCGCTCAGGTCTCTTCTGTTCTCGAGGAAACAGGAGAGTAAAGAGACTGAGCAAACCACCCACCCCTCGACCATCAGAGGGGCTTCAGTGGCCTTAGAGCACCCTGGGGACAAACCCGCCCGGCCAGGCTGACATCCCTCCCGCTGGGGAAACAGCCATTTTGGCCAGAAATCTGTGTCGGCGGTGGCTTTTCTCCCCCGCTGTGCCTCCCGACGCGCACCCTGCTGCCGTTCGGTGTGCCTCGGGCAGGCCGGCCGCAAAATGCCTCTGAGAATACCTGTGATCTCCCACACAGGTTTATTTGCATCTGCTTTTTTTGAAGATATATAACCCATGCCACTGTCAACGCCTTACGATATTATGAGCACAGCAGAGGAGAACACCACCACACCACTGTATTTCCCTTTTTAAGCTTTAAAAGGACGCTACCAGCTACATGGGGTTTCACCACAGGGCGGGGGGGAGGGGAAAATTTTTAACAAGAAGACTTTGAAAACAGATGTACTTTTGAAGCTGTGATGAAGAATTGCACAATAAAAAGGTTATATTGAAGTTCAGTCTGTCAAAGGAGCATTTGCACCCACAGCGCAGATGCATTCTGTGAGGGGTTATGCATCGGGGGGTAACATAGATCAGAAATGAGAATAAGGAAGGCTGTTTGTTTATATTGTCCAAGTTCAATACAAGAAGTAAAGAGCATAAAATGGAGTGGAAAGTCTTATATACAGTCAGCGTCATGTTAATATATTATTATAATAATAATAATGTAAGTTATAACTAAGATATCAAAGTTATCCTTTGCCTGGTAGCTTCTTTTTAGAACTTTTCTAACAGTTTTGTTTATTCCAAAGCTTGTGACTTTTATACTTGAAGATTTTAATTAAAATGATTTATACCAGATTTTGGCAATCTTCCTGTTTTTTAAGACTCCTTTTTGGCATACTGATACTGCAAAACTCCCTATATTACTTTTGGTCATACATCATCGGCGCTTTGTATGATTCCCAACGAGAGCACCCAAGTAAATAAAAATGAAAGAAATCATATCCAGGTTGGTGTGTTTCAGCTGTAGTTGATGACCGGTTCAGAAGCCCTCCACCCCCCCATCTGACTCGGACACAATACACGGGCTGATGATCGACACGCAGGAACTACTAGGCCGGGTGTCCAATGTGCAAGTGACAGCTGCTGCTCTGGCTTCGCCTCCCAGCCACGGCTCCGTCTCCGAGCACACGGCCTGGTTCTTCACATGGCGGGGCGGCGAGAGATTTTTCAGCTCACGTAACCGCTTTCAACTTAAAAAGCTCTACACGCACCCAGGTGACTTCTCTTTACAAAGTGAGAGCTACCGTTAGCTTTGTACAAACAGGGCAGGAGGGAGAAGGAGCGTAGGAAACGAGATGCTGGATCCCAGCGCACCGAGAGAGGTACGGTCAGAACCAGAGGCGAACATCGCCCTCGCAGGACGCGTCTGCAGCAGCAGCGCCTGCCCCACGGGCACCTTATCGCAAGGCTTTTTTCCTTTGTGAACGTTGTAAACCTCGGGGTCTCGACCTTGAATGTTTCTCTCTCTTCCCCTCTCTGTACACGCGCTTATCTGAGACCAGGAACAATGGTTCTCTCTCACATGCGTTCCAATTTACTTTTACATTTTTGACTCTGGAGCTTGGATTACTCACCTTGGATTTACTGTAAATCAGTTTCTGGAAGGTGGAGTAAGTTGCATCATGAGACCTTTGTACAGGAGATCACTTAATGTATGTGAAAATAAGGAAACTGATAATCTTCTTAGAATCAGGGGCAATTTGACTGTCAACTCAGATTTGAGTCAAACGAGACAGTGGAGCCTTAATAGCTTTTGGTGATTTTTCAAAGTGTGAAATGTGTCATTCCCTAGATTTTTTTTTCAGTGAGGGGCCAGGCCACCTTAACAATGAATATAAATCTAGTGACGACAAGTTTGCTTTTCTGCTTTACTTTCATGAGCTCCTTAAAAATTGTCTGCGGACGGTCCAGGGTTCGCTCACCACATCACAGATAAAAAAAAAAATGCCCACAGTGCCTGCGCGGGAGCAGCCACCTGGTGAAAACTGGAGTACTGGAGTTTCTACGGACTCGGCTGCGGGCAGGCGTTGCCGAGACTCGCTCGCTGCCCTCCCAGGGTGCACTGTTCACACCTCGGGCACTGGTCGGTACCCGAATAAAGCCCACGATAACTCACCCTGTCACCGTGAGACAGAGCCAAGGTCACAAAGAAAAAATATTAGTTACGCTTCATTAGAGCTGAGCAACTGTTTCTTTCACGGTCCTCTGCAAATAGTTTTACTGCTGTGCAGTACTGCTCATTACAAAAGCGAATGGAAAAATGTGAAAGTCACTTCTCCATCACTCTGGTTTTTTACTTCCAAAAAGTTGTCAACGTTTTGGGAAATTGAAGTTCAAAATGGTTTCCCTTGGTTTTTGTCAGTGTGTCAGCCGTTCAGGCTGAAGGAAGTGCGGAGTGAGACAAAGTTACACGCTACAGGGACACCGAGTTCTCCAAGGAATCTTTCAGCAGCAACTCTGTGGACATTTTACCACCGACACGATGCCACGCAAGGCTACGTTTTTACGGCTCTGTCCAAAGCTCCCCCCTCTCCCCGGTTTGTGCAATAACTCACATAAGATAGTGGGAGAACTGAGTGAACGAGGGCAGAGATCCAAAGGCCACCCATGAAATCAGAAATGTTTATTAATTATAGTCTGGAAGGGTTTGGGAGATGAGCCATATGCTGACGCGTGAACACGCATGCCTTGATGACATGTTTGATGATATACAGGCACCTACGGGATTTCGACAAACAGCACGGAAGGCTTTGAAGAAATTTAGCAGTAAAAGCAGCACCCGTGCTTTTAGTGAGGAGCTGAGGCACGGCAAGCAGGACCGCAGCAGTTACCAGATCCGCGCCTCCCGCCGTTTTGCCGCCCGTCCCCTCGGCTGCTGTCAGCCTTCGCTGCTCGGAGCCGGCGGGGGGGCGCGG